ACAAATGATAATGCCTTTAAATTAACTTGCATTCAGTAGAATATGACTCAAAAAGAAGATTGTACTTCTAAAAATAACAATATTAATAATGATGAGCAAATCATTCAACAAGATATTGTTCAACAAGATACTATCATAAATGATTCTAATGAAGCAAATATTCAACCTAATATTTCTATTGACGTCTTATTTATTGATAATGAAATATGAATTTTTGAGAATAATGAAGGTAAATCTTCTAAACATGTAGAGGAGCAAGCTAAAAATCAAGATATAATAAAAATGACTGAAAATATAAATATGTTTAGTACTAATGATCAAATTACATATGAAGCTATTAGTGAATTATATATAACGAAGCTATTAGCGAATATAACAAATCATTAGAAAATTGGTTATTATTTGAAAATTTAAATAATGTATTGTAATTGGCATTTATGTTGCTTAACTATCAATTAATATTTTGTAATTTGCCTTTGCGTTGTTTAAAAATTAATTGTAAAAATAATAATGCTACAAAAAAAAAAAATTGAAGATTACTTATTATTACTTAATGCCAAAAAACTTAATTAAGTAATATTAGATAAGAATATGTAACTTACTTTGCCCATCTCTACTTATGATTAATTTTAATTGTTAGCAAATAAATTTTTTTTAAAAAAAGCGATGCTATATAATTTCGAATTTATAAAAAAATAAACTTATAAAAAATATATTTGATCACTTTAATTCAATTATATTTTTAAATATATAAATTTTCCATCAGCCAATTTTATTTGGTATTAGTTTTACGTTTATACTATTAAGAGTCCAAGTTTACAGTAATCTCGCCACTATGTAAACCTCATTAAATAAGTTGTTGTGAATAAATTATTAGAAAATTAGAAGGAATACAATGAATAAAGAATTTATCTTTCTCATATTAATCCAATCGCATATGTCACTTGAAATAGAATAATGAACTTTCAATAAATCTCATTTCTTGGAAGTTTTTTAATCGATCAACTGAATCAACAGTCTTCTTCGCAATAATTGCATTTTTGGCGCGACGCTTTTTCTACCATGTTTATTAGATTTAGCAACTTTTGTAAAATTTAAACGATTTCTTTAAGATGTCTTCACGAACATGAAACATATGCTTTGAAGAATTTTTGATTTTTTTGATGTTAGCAATCATAAATACTATATTACGCAATCAGATCAAATTATGTCATAAAGTATTAAAACATTTTTTAACCGATTTAAATCAAACAAACATGATTTTAAGATCGTGTTTTAAAATATTTGCCATCCCTATAAGTCATGCAAGATATAAGGTACCCGGGTATCTTATCCGATAAATTACGGTAGCTGTTTTTTTGATCTGTTAACTATATGTCAACTTGAAATAATAATAATGTCATGTTTGAAATTAATGCAGTACTTACAACCTCAAGCACCTGATGCCTAAAGTTGCGGCTTCAGGCACCTGAAGTTACGCTTGCCTAATGTTGCAACTTCACGCTCCTAAGGTTAACTTGCCTAAAATTATCTAAAACGACATAATTTTAGATGCTAATTTCTGAAATTACAATTTCTTTTCGGAGGCTCATTAAATTTTTTGATATGTCTTTATACACGTAGCGAAGCATGTGCACAAAGCTAGTTTTATCCTAATACAAAATTTTAAATATACAACATATGTATAATTATGCTGAAGATTTTTGTCATATACAATGCTTTTTTATCAATGATCTAAATTTACTGCATTTTGATCTATTATAAAGTGAGTCAATGACAATGACATACATATGTATTGTGCTTAAAATTTTCATGAAATGTTAAAGAAAAACATTTTAACAACTTAATAATAAAATTTGTTTAAATCATTAGATAAAAAAATTTAGGTTTATTTTGTATGAATAATATTAATACATTGATAAGCGCTTCTAAAAGAAACAAGATTTCACGTTTTGGATTTCAAGGCAGAGTTGCTTTAATTATAAGCTCAAAAGCCTGAAATCTTATTTCCTGTTAATAGTACTCGGATACAAAAAAAGCTATCGCCTTGTTTATTGCTTTGTACATTTTTTTTATATAAGCCACATGCTGAGCTTAATATCAGTTCTCAAAAACATTTGATTCATGGCTCAGTTTTTTCCAAAATTTTAGAGGGTTTGATCTTCATCGAGTTTGGACTTTCTTCAAGGGTTTCACCTTTACCAGGGTTCGCCAGGATTTCGTCATTTCGCCAAGGTTTCGCCGTTTTTGTCCTTCGACTGGTTTAGTTTCGTCTTTCGCCATTTGCCAAAAATAGTTTCGCTTAACAACAGTACATCGAAAGCAATAATTTTACTTTTAAATTTAAATAAAGTGAATTCTTAATAAATCAACTATCAAAATTTAAAATTATAGAAGTAAGATCTATATATGTATCAAATATAAATGATTTATTAGCAATTAGAATATCTTGTAGTAATGCCGTGCAAAGTTGATTTTTCGTTCTTCATTACACGACCGACCCGTTGACTTTTCGTTTTTCATTACACGACCGACCCATTTTTTCAAATTTTCAAAAAACATATTCTTTAATCCTTTTATATATTCTAGACCTTTGGTATTCCAAAATTATTACTATCCAATTATTTATTGATTATAGATGCAGACATTTGAAGAAGTTATAACTATTGTAACGAATAAAATTTTTTTTATTTTATTTGATATAAACATATTATTATAGTTATATCTTTATTCTTATGTATATAGTTCTTCCTAAATTCCATTTTCATAGCAGTAACCGACTTTTTCTTTGTTACGTGTAAATATTTTAATCAAGTATACTAAAATGGTA